GCTTCCCTGGTGGCGCAGTGGTTGAGAGTCCACCTGTCGATGCAGGGGACACGGGTTCGTGCCCGGTCTGGGAGGATCCCACATGCCGTGGAGCGGCTGGGCCTGCGCGTCCAGAGTCTGTGCTCCGCGACAGGAGCCACAACAGTGAGAGGCCAGTGTACCCAAAAAAAAAAAAAAAAATCTTCTCTGCCCTTTGGCCTCCCCTCTCCCCGCACTGTGCATTGTGTGTCTGCATTATGCATTGACCAAACCTCCCCCATCTGCAGGAATACCTGCTCAGCGGTAAAGAGCAGCATTCTCCCAGCATCAACAAGACAACTCCTGAAAAGATAGCATTCCTTCTGGATCTTGTAAGGGATCACATGACCCACTGCGACGGGCTTAGATCTGGATTACATAAACTGTCAATAATACGTCATTGAAGGTACAGCCCTGTCTCAAAAAACTTATATAAACTGTGTCTTGACTTCCAATGGGGAGAACCATTCTCAGAGCCTTCTGAGATGCTCTTCCTGGGTAATAAGCCTCAAATTTGGCTCGAATAAAAATTTCCAATTCTTTCTTAGATCGACTGATTAAGTTTTCATTGACACCAGGGAGGCAGGCTGGAGCCTCCCAGCTCAGGCTCCAAGCCCACGACTCACATTCAGCCCCGGTCCTCTCTGGGCTACCCAAGGCTGGGACATTCACGCTGCTACTTTGTGACTCCCTTTTCCGCAGCTGTGGGGCTGCTGGGCCCAGCCCGGAGGGAAGAAGGCCGTGGGGGGACCAGGGATGTCTCCTGCCAATAACCAAAGGGAGCCTTAGGACGAGAGTGCTTTATTCTGAGTAGCCTCAAAGGCCAGGCCTTGGACCGACCAGAGAGTGGGAGTTCCACAGGGACAGGGTCTGCCTCCATCCACAGGGAAGAACCTCCAGCAGTGGGAAGGGCTGTCCCAGCAGGTAGGGGTCTCCCTGTCCCCAGAGGCTGGCAGCCTCGGTGTCTGGGGCAGAGAGGTAAAGGGGGAGCCGTTGTCTTGTGGGGAGAGAGATTGCTCGGACCCTTCTGCTCAGAGGTACTCAAATCTCAGGGAGAATTTCCTGAGCCTTATGATTGGTTTTTAAGGGAACTTATGAATTTTTAAAGGACCAAAGTTTTGTGAAGGGCCATTGGGTGAGGGAGCCCTTGGGGGTGGGGGTTAGTGGCAGGAGGGAGCAGAGTCCTCACACTGTCCGGGCACAGGGGGTTTTGGCCATTGTCCGGCCCACGTAAACTTCAGGTTCTGGTGTAAACGGTCTCTCACAGGATCCAGCCTCTCTCCAACTTTCCCCAAAACATCTGAGTGGTTTCAGAAACTACCCTGGTGAAGCCGGAGCCAGCCTCAACTTCCTCCAGAGACCAAGCAGGCTGTTGAGTAAACAGCAGCCTTCCCGGGGCTGGCTTCCAGCGGGTAATTCCAGCAGTCTCCAGGCTGCCTGCGACTCAGTGCCCCGGGCCTCATCTGCCCACACTCCCTTTTCAAGACCACTTGTTTGTTGCCATGAGTCTGAGAGCCCCGGGGAGAGCAGGAAGAAGCCCCAGCTTAGGGCACTCGACTCCTCTGTGTGAAACGTAAAAGTCCTGAAGTCCAGGCTGAACTACGAAACGCTCTTTCTTTTCCGGCAGAATGTCTGAGGGAAACCAAGTAGTTTTCTGACACCCACACCCCCATCATGGGTGCTGAGCGGCCAGAGCCAAAGGCAGGGCCTGGCACCGCCAGGATCCGTGCACGTGGTAGATCTGGGGAAGACGTATCTTTGGTGGCCCCGGCACAGAGCACACGGTGCCCACAGAGCGGGTAAGGACCCAAGAAGGGCCCACAGTTCCCCTTCTCCATGCGGGGAGGAAGCCCCCCTCAGCAAAGCAGAGCAGGCCCTTCTCCAGGCAGCAGCTGGGTGGGCAGGGTCTCCGGCCAGGCAGGGGCACCATGGCTGCAAAGAATCTGCAGGTCTCTGGGTCCCGAGATGCCTCCTGCTGCGGGAACAGTGATGTGCACTGGGCCCTGGGCCCACCGTGGAGGCTACAGAACAGGGAAGGGCTGGCAGCAGGAGAAGGCAGGGTGCCCAGGCCCTGCTGGCTGGCTGTTGCCCCAACACACAGCGCTGTTCAGATCCAGCCCCTTGGTTGTCTCTGCCGCACAGGCCCGGGCTCCCCAGGGTCTGGGTTGGGGGGCAGCTGGGTGGGGAGGCAGGTACAGACGAGCAGAGCCTCCTGCATTGATAGGCTGGGTCTACCGCTGGATGCTGGAACCTCACCTCAGGCCAGATGGGCCTCTGCCACCAGGTTGGTGCTACCAGCTTGGTGCCACCAGGGTCACCGTTGCCTCCCAGAGGCACCCAGCTGCCCTCTCAGCCCCAGCCCAGGCCAGGCCTCATTTCCCAGAGGCGGTCGTGGGCAAGGGGTCCTCCTTCCCTTCCTCCTCCACCGAGAACATAACGTCCCCACAGCTGCCCGCCAGTGGTTCCGTCTCCTGCTCTGGGTAGTGGGGGGCATGGTCCACCTCCAGATCCTTCTCGAACTCGGGCCCTGCCGGCCCCACCGGGCCCTGGCCCTCAGGCACCTTGGCCTTCACGGTCCCCACAATCACGGTGTCGGCCTTCATGATGTAGATGTTCTCTGCAAGGCAAAAGGGTGGGGGAGATGAGACAAGAGCTCCAGCTGGATGGAAGCAAGGAGGCAGAGGAGGGTCCCAGTCCCAGCTCTGCCACTTCTGCTGTGGGGTCTCAGGCAGATGGCACAGCCTCTCTGATACACAGTAGGCCCCGCCGACTTCACAGGTATCCTGAGGCTCAAAGGAGATAAAACAGCTAGGAACTATGTGCTGAGGGGTTAAGGACTGGCGCATGTATAGGAAGTGCTTGTGATTTTCTCGACACTTCTGCCAAGATGGGGTAGAAGAGAAGACAACAGGGTTAGGAGAGAAAGGAAGCCGTGGGGAGAAATTGGGGAATGACATGGACACCAATAGCACCAGTGAACACTCGCAGAGTTTAGCCTGTGCCGGATGCCGTTCCAGATGCTTTTCACACATTAGCTCCCGAATCCTCGCATCACTTCCACAAGGTAGATAGTCTATCGTGATCCCCATTTACAGATAAAGAATCTGGAGCCCAGAGATGTTAAATGACCTGCCCAAGGTCACCAGGTAGTTAGTAGAAATCCCCAAAGAAACTCCACCCTGCCCAGCTGCCCTTTCAGTTCATATCCACGTGCCTAAAGCAGAAACCTGGGGTGGGGGGCGGGTGGTGGTGGCAAGGGGACAGCAACATGTCCTGGTTTGTCTGAGATGCTCCTTCCGGTTTTAGTATTGAAAGTTCCACATCCCAGGAACCTCTTCAGTCTGGGCAAACTCAGACAGATGGTCGCACCCTGCAGAAACCTCAACCCTGTTAATAATCACCAACAGCCTATGATCTGGACAGCTTTGCAGGGGCTGGTATATCTTGATGTTTATTGCTTATTGCTATGTGCCTGCCTAGCACATAGGGCTGCTTGTGTGGCTCGCGTGAATGAATAAGCAGCCCAGCCTGTTAGAGGCATGATCCCCCACGGTCTGCTGACCACCTGCTACTAGGGCTTTGGAGTCTCAGGGGAGCTAAGTAAGGTGCCCAAGAAGCTGGGACGTGGGGAGCCTGGCCTTCACCCAGGTCAGCTAACTCCAAACACCAGCAACCCAGCTTCTGATGGCCTTGAGCTCAGGGCAGGGTGCAAGCTCCCAGCCGCTCAGCCCTGGAACTCTCTCTGGAGTCCGAATGGGGAAGCTCAAGAGGGAACTTGAGTGCTAGGGTGGGGCAGGGAGCTCGGGATCCCTGCCTCTCTGGGGAACCCAGTTACACCCCTCCGATTCAGGAACCCCCCAGAGATTCTGGGGGCCCCCCCGCATGCTCAACCCCATTGCATGATGCCAGTTCTTCTGTTTTGGTCTTTGGTACTTCCAGGATAGAGAGAAGTGTTCAAAATAGCAGTGAGAACTAGAGGCAAGGCTACAAGCGTGAAACAAGCTGTGGGCTGGGAGCCCCCCCTACACCGCAAAAGAGAGAGCGTGGCCTCGAGCCACATACCCTCCATCAAGACCTGCAGGTCCTTTGCCCTGGGAACCTGACCAGAAGGGCTGGCAAAAGATGGGAGCCAGTGATGGTGAGGGAGAGGGGACCCCAGGAGGTGAGAGAGAACACAGAGGAGGCCACACAGCGCTAGAGGAGATGAGACAGACAGACAGACACAGAGGAGTAGGGGTGTGGAAGAAGAGGGGTGAGTTTGTCCAGGGAGAAGCAGCCAAAGCTGGGGGCCAGGCTGTGATCCCCTCACATTCCTCGGGTCCTGATTCCTCTAGCTCTATCCCCCATCACAGGGCTGCCCACTCCCAAGTTGGGAGAGGTTGGTCTTTCAGAAGTTGCTTGGACTTCCTGCCCCACCCAGGGCTCCAGAATCCAAGGAAGTGGTCCTGGACGGGGAGGGGGATGAAGATGAGGGGAAGGGGCTCCCCCTGCCCGGTGCCCAGAGGTAGAGGGATAAAGTGCAACCAGAGTTTGGTCCCCTTGGGAACTGGACAAGGGGGTACTCCTCTAGGGAGGTGTCAGGAGAACAAAGGGCTCGCCATCTCTTGAATGTCCCAAGAGAATCTCCAACCTGCTTACCAGCCAGGCTTACAGGCCAGGCTGCCCACGCCCCACCCCATCTGGGAGCCTGGTGCCTCCCTCCCCCTTCCCCCCCAAACACTCCCAGAGCCCCAGCCCTGTGGTTCCAGGCACTGCACTCAGCATTGACTCAAATGTTCAAATTAGGACTTCTTAGGAAATTTGCAGGAGATGCTTTCAGTGGTATTTCCCAAAATACATTCTTTTCCAGTAAAACTTGCTGAAAGCTACAATTCCAAAAGTTTCAGTTTGGTGCTAAGGGTTCTGCCCTAAAGAGTTCTATCCACCAATCCCTGCCACACAAATGTGTAGGACGATCACAAATGCCTCTTTGGAATTATCTCAGTGATGGTTAACCCTCTAAAGACAGAGATGGAGCCAATTAAGGCCCTGCCCCCAGGGAGCTAACAGCCAAGTGGATGGGGGTGGGGGTGGGGAAGGAGGCTGCAAACACACACTGCTGGGTGCTGAGGACACTAGGAGGGGAGGCCTGGGCTCTGGGGCCGCACAGCACAGGGGCGTCTCCTAGACGGGAGAGTGGAGAGGACAGGGAGGGCTTCCTGGAGGAGGAGGCAAATAAACAGGGTCCTCAGGACATCAAGAATTAACTAGATTCAAGGAGGTGGAGTTGGCTGTTTCAGGTGAGAAAGCAGCGCCCCCGGAGCTCAGAAGTGAGAAAGGGCTCCGGTGATTAGGAAACTGACATTGAGTGGGAGGAAGGAGCAGACCTGTGGGGTGGGGAGGCTGGCAAGCCTGGTGGGGAGGAGGCAGCTTAAATGCCGGAATAAGAAGCCTGGAATTCACCCTGCAGGTACCAGGGACCCCCTGGAGGGCTTCAAGCAGGGGTGTAATATGGGCAGGTAACCATTTTGGTAGAAACGTTCTGGTTGTAGCAGGGTGGAGAGGAGGGGGAGAGAGGCAAGGAGGCCTTCGGGAACGGAAGTTTCGTCCTGGCTGGAGAGTGGCTGCAGTTCGGGGCGCGCTGGCCTTCGGGTTCCACTGCAGGGTACTGATGTGGACAGACCGGGGGTTTCGGAGCCTGCAGCCATGCTGCCACTTGGTAGCTGTGTGACTGGGAAAATCACTTCTCTCCCCTGAACCACTGTTTCCCCAATTGGAAAAAGGAGGGAAAGACCCCATCCTCTGAAGGCTGTGTGACAAGAGGTGACGAGCGTGCCATGCCCAAATGCGTCAGCCAAGCGGCAGCTCTTACTTCCCTGATGTCTCCCTCCATCCCCCTCAGGGGCCCTTTGTTGGGGGCTGGGCTGGCGGTTACTTTCCCTCTAATCAGAGCAGGCACCAGGCAGGGGGAGCCCCACCCCCCAGGACAACTTCATGCACATCATTTCACGAATTTTCACGATGGTCTCCGTGAAGGCAGAACTCCTGCTATCCCTATTTTACAGAAATTTACACTGGGATGAAGAGGTGGAGGCAGCTGCTCCATTACCCCTGAGAATGGCTTAACTCCTTCACAGAAATTTTCTCCTACTCATGAGGGCCAGTGGAGGAACCCCTGCCTCTTCCTTGCTGGGCCTTCCGTCCTCAGGGTCTCTAGTCCCCACTGGGGGCTCAGGGCCCATCTCTCCTGCCCCTGAGCACCCCGGGACCCCCCAAACAGGCCGACTCACCAATCCTGTTGTTGGTGTGCTCCGCGGTCCCTCGGGGCTCAGGAAGGTCCATGGAGGTGGAGGGGCTGCTGGCTGGGTTGGCCTCCAGCAGCTGCAGGCTCTCCAGGTTGGGGCAGGTCTCCACAGCTGGGGGGCTCATTAACCCCTGCTCCTCAAGGCCCGGCTCTGCCACCGATACCCTCCTGATCAGCTGCAGTGGGTACAGAGGAAATGGTGCTGATGCAGGATGCCCCAACCTCCCCCAGTCTCTGAGCTGAGGAACCCCTGTTTCTTCATCTCCATAGACCCCAGTGAGTCTCCCTCTCTGCTTCAAAGCCGTCATGCGCTACCCTGGGCTTCTCAGCCTTGATAGCCTGACATACCTGAGTGTGGGACCCTGTGAAGTCACGTTGTTTTTAACTTGTACTAAATAATGATACTGTCAGCATTGCATACAATGCTTACCACGTGCGTGGCCCTTGACAAGTGTTAGTCCTTAACAACCACTCTACAAGGTGGCTAATATTAGCACCCTCCCCATTTTACAGATCAGGAAACTGAGGCACAGAAGAGTCAAGTAGGGGCTTCCCTGGTGGCGCAGTGGTTGAGAATCTGCCTGCTAATGCAGGGGACATGGGTTCGAGCCCTGGTCTGGGAAGATCCCACATGCCGCGGAGCAACTGGGCCTGTGAGCCACAACTACTGAGCCTGCGCGTCTGGAGCCTGTGCTCTGCAACAAGAGAGGCCGCGATAGTGAGAGGCCCGCATGCCGCGATGAAGAGTGGCCCCCGCTTGCCGCAACTAGAGAAAGCCCTCGCACAGAAACGAAGACCCAACACAGCAAAAATAAATAAAAATTAATAAACTCCTACCCCCAACATCTAAAAAAAAAAGAAGAGTCAAGTAGCTTGCTCAGGGTTTGTTGGTAAGTGTCCGGCCAGTGCTTGAACCCCACCCAGTATCTCGCTTTGGAATCCATGCACGTTAGCCCCAGTCTACAAGTATCAGCTCCAGGCCCACCCCAACTCCCCTGCTCCTGGGACAGCAGCCTTTTATGATCACACTAATGTATTCTAAAAGCAGTTACGTCTCAGGAAAATGTTGGTTTCATTTTTCACTTTTCTGTAAGTGCCAAGGAGAAGTGCTCTTGTAAAATGTTCTAATGTAAATACCATTTACCTTCAGCCTTCAAAAGGGAATGAGTTTGAGTAAAAGGCAGAAAGTGTAGCTACATAATCCTGAGGATTCTTTTTTTGTTTTTAATTTATTTATTCATTTTATTTTCGGCCGCACTGGGTCTTCGTTGCTGTGTGCAGGCTTTCTCTAGTTGCGGTGAGTGGGGGCTACTCTGTTGAAGTGCGTGGGCTTTTCATTGCTGTGGCTTCTATTGTTGCGGAGCACGGGCTCTAGGCACTCAGGCTTCAGTAGCTGTGGCACGAGGGCTCAGTAGTTGTGGTGCACGGGCTTAGTTGCTCCACAGCACGTGGGATCTTCCTGGACCAGGGCTCGAACCCGTGTCCCCTGCATTAGCAGGCGGATTCTTAACCACTGCGTCACCAGGGAAGTCCCCTGAATATTCTTTTAAAATAATTTGAAGTCCAAAAGACGGCATTCTTGAACATGTTACTATTAATGCTTAGGCCCACGTGGCCAAAAGATATTTGATTATCTTACAAATCGTTAATACCTTTTCATGAAATTTCTTGGCCTCATAACAGCAACTTGTCTGACCCAAGCATGTCTGAATGTGATCTCCCATGATTTGAACCTGAACTAGTATTGTGGTTCCATCTATTATGTTTAAAAATAAAGGATGGAAACCATTCTCATGTATGAAAATTTGAGTTAACAGAAAGTAACAGGGCTTCCCTGGTGGCGCAGTGGTTGAGAGTCCGCCTGCCGATCAAAATATTTCTTCCAAAGTGTTTTAAAAGAAAAAATCTAATGGGAGAAGTTACCAGGTAGAGAGGCAGCAAATAGAAGTGATCAGGGGGAGTTTTGAGACACCATAGGGTCCTCCTTTCTGGGGCACATCTCCTCTCCCCTCCCTTTAAATTCAACAAAAGGGATACAGACTAGAGCCTATCTTGTGGCTCTTTTCAATTACATATTACCAGATAGAGTAGCCTGAATTCACAGGGGAACATGAATTTACAGGCTAAAATAACCAGACTCCTAAGAAAAAAAAAAAAAAAAAAAAAAAAAAAAAAAAAGTAACAAAAGAACTGATAAGTGGAAAAGAAAAAAAGCGGGTGAACCGTACACACCTGAGACCCAGCCCATGTGGTGTGCTTTGTCCTGCTCCCCCGCTCAGCTGCGGAGGGCAGTGCCCCTGCTCTCCCCCGCACTGGTCCCCGCGCTGCCCCTGGGAGGCTGGGCACAGAGCAGGACGCCAGGACAAGCCCATTGAGGGCCTGGTGTATGCGCCGCATCTTGGGTGGTTGCAGCACCCGCAGTAACGTGTGCAAAGCCCCCAGCCCAGCGCCTGCACACGGCGAGCACTTCATAAAAGGCAGGTGAAAATGCTCTTGCTATAGGAGGCAGCTCAGGGTAACAGTTCAGAGCACCAGCTTTGGAGTCACCCAAACCAGGCCTCAAATCCTAGCTGATCTATTTTCCAACCGTGGAACCACCTTTCCTGTCTGGGCCCCCGTTTCCTCTTCTCTACAGTGGGACAACAGTACCAACCTCTGTGTTTTCTAAGGACTACCCAGAATAACTTCAAGAGAGCATGAAGCCAGGTGCCTGGTGCACCATAAGCGCTCCATGTGAGAAAAGCTCAAGTTTCAGAAGTTTGTGCTGCTGATTCGACATCTCAGCTTTGAGGACAAGACTCACGGAGGAGTGATGGAGAAAGGGGGGAATGAACACAGCCTTCCCTCTGACCACACCTGGCACCCACATGGCCAAAACCAAACCCACTGTCTGGCAGGCCCTTCTGGAAGTCCCCGGCAGGATGAGCCAGGAACCAAGGCTGCTGCTTGGGGTGGGGCTCTGCATCCTCCGCCAGGGCCTGGCTCAGGTCCCACTGTGCTCAGCACTCCCTGCATGGGGCAGACCTGGCCTGAACTTGCAGGGGAACCTGCACCTGGGCCCTGGGAGGGCTGGGATCCACGCAGCCGCTCTCAGAACCAGCAGATCTGCTAGGGAAGGAGTCAGAGTTAGGGGCACAAAGCTGGGGTGGAGGCAAGGGAGGGGCTACTTACTATTGGGTTCCTCCCGGGCCTGGAATCTGCAAAGGGCAAAAGAGCAGTGACTTCACCAAGGCGGGTCTGGCAGCTGCCTGGCCCTGCCCGCCCCCCACCTGTGGGCAAATGCCCCCTCCACTGCCCCCAGGGTGGCAGCTGGTGCCTCTGTCAGACCTGGAGAGCAGTGGACGGATTTCAGGCCCAGGGCACAGGGGCTCACTTCCCAGCGGCAGCCAGAGAACGGGGGAGTCACCTGTCTTCCAGCCACCAAGCCCCTCAGCACACTGGACTCCTGCACAGCCCTCCCACTCCCACACACGCACAGAACTGGTTCAGGACGAGCGCGCACCCCAGCCGGAGCCGAAGACACTTCTGCTGGGTCAGAAGTTGGTCTGTGGCTGCTGCTACCACCTGGTGGGCTCCAGGGGCTGGAGAGGCCAGAACGCCCCAGAGCACCATGTGAAACTCACACGGAGGACCCCTAGGTGATAGAGAGCGGGTGACAGGTCCTGAGGACCTTTTCTTAGACCTGCATCGGACATGCCTAAAGCCAGTGGACCCCGGAGCCCTTTTGGCTCAGGCCAGCATGAGTTTGGTTTTCTGTCACGTGTGCCTGAAATAGCCCACGTGAGCAGTCTCACCGGTCATCCCACCCTCTGGTGGGCTCAGTATGCAATGATCCTTAGGGCACAACCTTTTTCTTCTCATCCCAAACCCCACCCTCCTCTCCAACTTTCTTCTCATATTAAACTGGGCTCCGGGTCATGGCCAAGTATATGTTGACATTTAATCACGGCCCAGTGGCCACCTGGGAAAGCTGGAGATGGTACCAGGCGCCTGTCTAAGCCAGGGCGAGTCAGCTCCTAGGAGCTGACCGTCCTCTGGGGGCACACGGCCTCTTAAGACTCCCGAAGAGGTCACCTACAGAGACTTGGCTTTTGTTGCTATTCGGTGTGCACACCTAACCAGAGAAACCTCATGAAAAGAGGCCAGCATGCCAGCTAAGTCACCTCTGGAAGACCGTCTGACCTCAGCCCCTCTAGGGAATGAGCATCCCCCAATCCTAGCAGAAACGCTCACTGGAGGCCGACTGACCACGAAAATACAAGATGGGCAGTTTGAACCTGCTGTATGGACACCAGGTCAGTCTGGGGGACACTCTTCCATGTCCCTTTTAAATGACCATCAGCAGCTAAAGTATCTAAAGGGGAAATGGATCAGAATAATAGTCAAAAGAAGCACATATGGGGCTTCCCTGGTGGCGCAGTGGTTGAGAGGCCGCCTGCCAATGCAGGGGACACGGGTTCGTGCCCTGGTCCTGTGAGCCATGGCCGCTGAGCCTGTGCATCCGGAGCCTGTGCTCCGCAACGGGAGAGGCCA